TGATCTAGTCCGTCAGTTGATACGGCGGCTTTTCATCGCGCAGGAAGACCTTTCTCGAGGGCTCATTATCGCGAACGAGGAATGGGAAACGACAAAAATATGTAGTCAATAGACCGATAGGCAATTGAAGAAACCAAAAGAGGGTTGAGCTAGTTCTCGATCAAGATAGCATAGATTTAGTCGAATAATATAACAAACGCGGTGGCTGGGTTTTCCTTTTCTCTAATAGAGAAAATTCTGAGAAAGACCACTAATACTACGATGCATTCTGGTTGAGCGTGACCCTTTGAGAGGTCTGTTTTGATTTGTTAATTCTTTTTGCTTGTCACGTAAGGATGAGCCCGTTGCGTGACTAGCCTAGCGGGCCATTGAGAAGAGCAACAAAGTTTGTCGTAAGACTGGAAAAAAACACAAAACAAAACAAAACAAACAGGCAACCAGACAAACAAGCAAACAGCCGATACTTGGAGACAATTTTTCAGTGGCTTCCTCACAGCTACTTCGATCAGAGATATTTTCAAATCATAAACCTCCGTAAATAGATAAATTTCATGTCCTTGCAATAAGGTCTAAGTTCAGAGCAAACCAATTTCAAAAACTTTATTTAAATGATGAAATAAAGGAAATGAAAAAAAATTCCACTTTCCTTTTTCTCTTCCATTCCACCCTTTTTGACACTGACTAGTTTTATTTCAGTTTCCGTAAAACTTCATCTCGGGCTTCCTTCAAATCAGTAAACAAATGGCACAATACATTTTTCTTTTTCTTTGGACGCATTCAATTATTCGCAAGCGAAGCTGATTTGTCGAACAAGCTTTTGTAAAGTTCAAAATAACCAAAGGCACGATGTCGCGGGTCGATAACAAAAATTCTAGGTTGAGGGGTACATATTAGCTATGTTTTGTTTTTTTCTCGAATTTTTTCATAGCTTTGATTAATTAGGAACTGTAGGCTGGTCTGATTACAGACCGAATTGAACTCCACTCGGTACTTAATTGTATACCTCGGTAGTTAATCTGAAATTGTCAGCACAGCTACTATTGTTTAATTTTTTAAAAACTGTATAATAAACGACTTATTTGAATAGGTTCAAAGGATCCAAATTAATCCTTAATAATATCCTTAATTAATCCTTAATAATCCTTAACAGTTTTATAAAATTAGAGAATAATAGCTTGTTATGAATGAGCAATGCCCAATGACAACTGACTAGCTGTAAAGTTAATTAGTTAGAGAAATACATGCTCGTCCAAATTTGGAAACAATTGGATGAAAAAAACAATTGGGGACAGCTAAGAATGGACGAGGCCGCAGGCCAAGTCAAATTCAGCTGTCAGGAGAATTTTTTTTTTTGACAGCATGAAGTCCTTTTCACATACGAATTGTACTTCACTCGGCCCTCAGTTACCATTACATATCTGTGCTCGACTCGCACATTATTTTTACCCCTCTTAGTGAAAGGGATAACAAAATATAAAAGCTATTGGTCAAATTACTAAATATAGACAGGAAAATGAATGTATTTATACAGTTTCCTAAAATATTCCGAAAATGGCATCGAAATGATTCGTAACAATTAAGAGCTCTACTGTTCACTAGATACGCATCTCCGGAAGAGCCTTTTTAACTGCAATTTTGGTCTACACTTTTTCTTGAGAATGTAGAGAATTCCTATGAATACCAACAGACCAACGACCATCGTTACAGCAATTTTCCAGCCAGTGAAAATTGAGCCCCCTTTGAAACAAGGAAGTAAATATGAGATAAGTTAATTGTAGTTAAGCGAATTTCTCATAACGGATAAAGTCTCAGCATTTATAATCACTTCAAGAGATCACTTTCAATATTCTATTTCCTCTTTTCTTCATTTATTTAGCGCGAAAGATTTTGCAATCCCGGTCTTTCTGTAAACTAGGCTTCATTCTAATCAGGGGTAGGGGCACATGGTGATTCTTTTCCTGTCGAAAAGGTCATGTTTTCAAATTATCCAAAAGGGTAGCATTAATGCCTGCAATCGGTAGAACCAAAGTTGTTTTTCTATTGGAAGAGGCTGGAGGTGTGAGTGTGTGTGTGTGTGTGCGCGCGTGCGTGCGTGCGTGTGTGTGTGTTGCTCACTTCCCTCTATTTCAATACACTGCCTTATCCCATTCCTACACCCCCCTCTCACACACACACACACAAACACCTGGAGACAGGGGGATGGGAGGGACAGGAAAGGGAATGAGGGTGTAAACGGGAGGGAAACAGGTACTAAGCAGGTTACGGCTTACACTCGATCAGTGCATATGAAATTCCACGAGACGTACTAGCGTTGAGTTCCGGATAATAAACAAATTGCCGGTTTTCATTGTCGCACCACGATCAAAACCATTCAGCAACTGAAAGTCAAGGATCAAAAGAAAAAAGAAGATGAAAATTCAAACAGTCTCGATTCAAGTCTGCGCGGTGTTTCGTGCGGGAGATGTTTGAAGAAATGTACTACTCAAACTGATAAGGCTTGGTATGGAGACGCCTGTTATGTGATCCTCTGAGGGGCACAAATATGGCGGCTGCAAGCTAACAAAGACATATTTCATCGTGTTAAGCCATAACGGAGGGTCTGGATGGGGGATACAAATTTCAGTTCTCAGTTAAAATTTCGGCCATTCATCACTTCTCAGTTAGATTTTAGGCAATTTGTCAGGTGTCCGTTGAATGACTGTTAATAATTAACTTGGCAAGTTATTTATTACTTTCCGACCCTATTACTGGAAAGAAGATCGTCAGAAAGACAATCTTCCTTCCAACAGATCTAGATATTGGTTTAATTTTTTCTTTTACAATACTATTAGAGATATCTAATGTAAGAGTACCTTAGAAATCCAAGCGAAAAACGGGCGCGAATTGGCCACCTGGATCTAGAAACTGTTATTAAGGCAATATCTTTATCCTCTCGATCAGAAAAGTAGTTTTCTGAATCCGTGTCATATTCGTCTGTGTATGTTTTTGCATCTCAGCAACTGCCGCTTCAACAATACAGTCTTCAACAAATTTGACATGTGTCACATTCCCAGACGCTAAAATGCCGTTTCCGAATCAATTTGATAAAAGCTTACAACAGCCTTTAAAATACCAACATTGACAGCCATCGTAGAGTTGAATTCGAAAATCGAGTTGGGTTTCAAAGATCATTTAACCGATAAGTCACATATGACCTTGATGTGGGTGATCCATGCGGTAAAAATATGACACTGTCGTACTCCTACTGATATGTAATGAAAAACGTACTTTATTGGAAAAAATGCATCAACTATCCATATTTTATATACAGTTTTTAGGATATTTATGGCGATCCGATCTTTTGTCAGCTGTCTGTAAAAGCTCACCACGAATGTCAGTTGTCAGTTAGATTTTCAGTGATTTGTCAGTTGTGAGTTAAGATTTTGGCCATTTGTCAGTTGTCAGTTAACCCCATCCAGACCCTCATAAGGAGCCTGTAGTCGTCATCTGAAGGCTCATAAACATCTATACGAGTACTTATTTTCATAAAAGGACTATTTAGAGTGCGAGACAGCATTCTCGGCCGCCATTTTTCTCCGTGCGCGGAATATAGCTCAATTGGTTAGTGCACCGGATTGTGTTGCGCGGGAGGTCGAGGGTTCGAGCCCCGGCCAGACCAATACTCATGGTCATAAAATAACCGAGAAGAATTTGCTACCTTTCTATAACAAGAAATGGATAGATATTCTAGTCTTCTCGGATAAAGACGAATAAACCGTAGGCCCCGTCTCCTGCAGGGTTAGGGGTAGGAGACGTTAATTTCCCACGCACGAGATTACTGTGTGGTGGATGTCCTCCCCTGGGGTGGGATGGGTAGGTGTTGGCCCTGAAAGCCCCTATGGGGAGTGGTCAATTAACCCATGTATTAACCTAGTATGTATGTATGTATGTATGTATGTATGTATGTATGTACGTATTTTTTTGTCTTGTCACGCAAAAGCTTAGAGGCTTAACCTTGCTTTATCTCAAAACGAAAAGCCTTATCAAACTGAAAGTTTTAAAAAAGATAAGTTTTCCACTGTTCTAATAACAAACTAAACTAAAGTCATAAAAGGACTGATAATTCCGTACTTTCTAATTTTCGTTAGGTCACGCTAAAATTTGAACAAGCAATAGAGGTCTTGGTCGCGAAATAAGCGACTGATGAAAATCAATGCGATCCTATATGATTTTCGACACACAGTTAAAATCTGCTCCAAAACTGGATATGGGAAAATTGAACAAGCACACCTACTGCTTACCTGATGGCGATGAAGAAAATGGAGGCAGATTGTCATAAGAAAATGACAAAGTGAACGCTTATTATACTTTTTCATATCTTATAGAGGTCTTAAGAGTCATGTTTATAGAACACTGTGATTGACTAAACCCGCATATTCATAGATTTTCCAACCATGCTTGTTCTTTCGAGAACTGAAAAATATATCAAAAATTTTGCTTAAGGCTGAGTTTGCTCTAGAGATAATTTTCGTAGATAGCAGCTCTGCATTACCAACTGAAAAGAGATTTATGCGAAGACTTCAGCGTCAGATATTCTTCGAACACCACCATAATCAGTAATTGATTGTTTTTGAGCAAATTGATAAAAACGAGTCTCTTTCGATTGACAATTATGGAACTTTAGAAGTTCTTGGAACTCTATTCAGTACTTTCGAGTCATCTGAAAAGGCTAAAGAGCGGGAGAACCACCTGGTTCTGTGGTCGTCGTGCCCGGCTGACCTAAATACAGAGGGAAAAATTTGGATGAGTCTGAATGAGTGGTAGGTTTGGATTAAAAGCAAACGAAAACAAACAAACAAACAAACAAACCGAAAAATAAAACTAACGAGAATGAGAGAGAAACAATAAAAGGAAATTAATGTTTCGAACAAAAACTGCAACGCAAAGCAAACCGCATGCATGACACACTCTTTTCGTCTCTCTTTTCTATCTAGCTACATCTACTCTCCTGCAGCTATAGCTCAACGGCGAAAAAGATCAATACCTTTAACGTAAACCTTTACGGTGAAGGAAACACGTCCAAATGGATTCTCAGCGAGACAGGTATAATTTCCGCTTTCAGATGCAGTGACGTTGCGAATTTTAAGACTTGTTTCCGAATCGACATTCGGTGTACTCTTGAGGAGATTCTCATCATGACTCCAAGTAACCCTGGGGAAAGGATAGCCCTGGACTCTAGCATCCAAATGAAGGTCCACTCCTTCAATCACGTGAAGCCTTTTAGGACTCTCTAGGTGTAATTGTGGCGCTTCTAGAAAGAAAGGAAAAGAAAGAGAAACATAGATTCAAAGAAACAGCGTCCAAAGTGGTACGATAGAATTAATGCAAACGAGAGAGAGGGATGGCTTAGTGGTGAGAGCGCTCGTCTCCCATCGCTGTGGCTCGTATTCACTTCTCGAACCTGGTGCCCGTTTCGCGAAAGTCCCGGAAACTTTAAGGGCCAGAAGCCATATTCTAAAATTAAAACTTAAGGAATAGAGAAGCAGGTTCTGGCACCCTCACTAGTCCAATTTGTTTCTTTAGCTAACAGTTTTATTGCAAAATGTTCAAAACCTTTTAAACTGCCATCTTGAATGAAAAAATAATTCTTTATGGGTCTTTTAAGTAAACAGGTTTCAGTATAAACGGACCCCTGACGTCACGAGTGGGTTTCTGTTGGTTCTCGCCCTTGTTCTGAGAGTTTTTCTCCGGGTTCTCCAGTTATCCTCCCTCCAGAAAAAAACATTACAAATTACATTTGTAGCTGGTAACCGTTGAAAGAGGAAACACCTCTTGAAATTTTCATTTCAAAATTTCTATTATTATTTTTATTATTATTATTATTATTATTATTGATAATATTATTAATATTCCTCTCACTCTCATTTTCATTATCATTATTATATAACACTTATAAACACATCACCTTTGGCAACACTTAGGATCGTGTATGATTGTTTTTTCCATACATACTTTCTGTGGGCAATACAGATAAACACTTTTCCATCATCCACTGGTAGAACCTTAATAACTAACGTTCCGTTGGTGTAGACCTCAAAGTTTGGGTTATATGCAATTGTCTCTCTCGTATTTTGAATATGCGCTATCCAATGTTTGTCCCATTCATGCTCACAATAGTCGGTAGAGCAACGATACCAACCAATATCCTTGACACTTTCTTGATCGCTGAATTCAGAGCACGCTAGTAAGTATCTCTGGTGGATTTTTACGGTGACCTTCATGGTAGCACTCGTGGATATCTTAATCATAGCACCTGTCATAGAGAAAGTAAAATAATTTTAGTATTTTTTTATCTTACCATCAAAACTTTTATTATCATTAAAATTATCAGTTATATCCATTTTTATCTGATGTTCTGTCAAGAGTGTGCGGAAATCTTGGTTTTAAAAACTTCCCATGAACATAGCTTCAAGTTTCGCAATCACAGTCTATGGGCAGCTTTCGCACAATTTTTTAGAGCGTTAGATTTCAACATGGAATTGATTATGGCTTATTGTTGGCATTATTATCCATTTTTTTGTTTTTTAGTATCACCATTATTACTATTTCTATGATCATGATTATGCATTATTAACGAGACAGTTGTGTACCTATTCAGTTTTCAAGAACTACCCTTAGAAGTTTATTTTTCCCTGGAGTAAACTTTTAAATGGCAAATATCAATTATTGTTACTATCATTACAACTATTACCCTTAGTATTATCCTTATCATTATTATTATTATTATTATTATTATAATTCTTACTATCATTATCATTATTATCGACGACTGCCACGTAATTGAGGCTTGTATTGGCTAGTATTTCATAGATTTTTATCAGGCATTTTTCGATTTTCAAGCATTTATCACTAATTTGCTAATATTTTTTAGTGATTATTATGAATAAAGGTTAAAATAATAATAATTATTATTATCATTATTACCATTTTCATTATTATTATCTTTAATATCTTTAGTATTATCGTTATTATTATTATTATCATCATTTCAATTAAAACTATGAAAAAGTTCTCGAACGTCATTGGTTCTTTATCAGCCTGATTTTAGGATTTTAGCACTGATATCAAAGGGACTGTACAACGGGACAGTACGCATCGTGTGCAAGCGCTGTTGTCGCTCATTTCGAGGAGGTGACTGTGTCTTTTTTTTAATTATTAAAAACGTACAATCGATGGCTGGTTTTTGCCACGGATTGTCCGAATTTATTAATCACTTGTATTTTTTTCAGTCCCATTACCACTTCTATCATTGTTATCATATCATTATTTTTTTGTGATGCGTCCTTTACGAAATTTGGGAGCTTACAAATCGATGACTTTCCAGAGGACGACGACGTCTTAACACTCGGAGTAGTTTATGCGCATGCGCTACCGGAGTTGGTATTATTTCGCGCGTCGTCTTGACGGAGGTGACGACTTTAGCTTTAGAGGAGCTGTTTTGAAGTCGTCTTCGCAGCCGAAAGGTGCGTTTTGTTCGGAATATTTCCTGAATCTAATGCTTAATCCCCAAACACCTTCCAAATATATTAACGGGAGCTTTCCTGAAACAGTTTTTTTGCCTCTTGAATGTTATTTACGTCTTAGTTCTTATTTATCAAACAAGAAAGAGATAAAACGGCGAAAAAAATGACCCAAGCCCTTCAAACGCACGGTGAGGGAATAAATAAAAAAGGAAATTGGCGTTTTAAGTTCAATTCAGACATCAAGAGAGATAAACTATGAAAGAAACTAGTCTTCTTCATTCAAAAGTTCTAAGTTTTTATCCATTCATTGGCTCTAAATCAGTTTTGAATAATAAGCAAATTCCGTTCTTTAAACGGTTTCGACTAGTCACAAGATGCAAAACATGCAAGCGATGCGAAGATTCAGTCAGATATACGGAAAGATTTTGTCAAGGAATCGATCCAACCACTAGGCCATTGTAAGAAACAATCTCATCCGGTAAATGAAGAAAATCAGCAAGCTTAAAACGGTCATTTTGTAAAATCGGAATTCAGCTTTCTGCTGGTCATTTCCCAGCTCGTCTAAATCGAATCGATTATACTTCTCGTACCGAAATTGCGGGTTTTCGAAGTAGTGGCATCATACAACAATATAAACTGCCTGTCGGTGGTAAATCCTTTTCTGTAGGTATATGCGATATACTCTCTGTTCTCTCTGAAGCTCGGCATTTTAATTAATACGTTGATAAAGCTATCTAAACAAAAATAAAAGTCAGTCTGCGACTTATATTTGGCAGGAAATCTCTGCATCGACGTCCGCAGCTCGTAAGTTACTTTTGGCGCGCAATGGGAAACGGCGACGACAAAGTCGATGATGTCACATAAAGTCGTCGTCGAGAAAGAAGTCATCGATTCGTAAGCTCCCTAAAAATAAACATGCGATCTGCTTGAATTGCCGTTGATACCTATGCCACATTTTTCAGATAACGTACGGAATTTTCAAAATTCTTGAAAGCAGTTTATCGACGCAAAATATCGACGTATTGTTGATTAGAGGCACCTTGTTACATATTGGTTACTTTATATATACGCTGCTATAATAGAGGACGGAGTGGTCAACTGAAGATTTGACTTGGAATTTATTACTATTTAGTTTTGAAATACACAGCTTGTGTAGCACTCATCGGTTAAAATTGCCAAATGCGATTTTACAACGTACACTGATTTGAAATAAGATGATAGCTACCATATATGGACTCTTTACATAACAGGCGCGCAATAAAGATAAGGGCTAAAAATAAATAAATAAATAAACACAGGCACTATAGTGTAACAATAAAAAAAAAACAAACAAACAACAGGCGGGCGTGCAATAAAGGTAAGGACTAAAAATAAATAAACACAGACACTATGCGTGACACGGCAGGTGTTGAAATTTTTCAGGAAGCATTTTTTAGCATAACTACCTGAGGTTATCAGTTTATTTCGTTTGTTAAGAGAGGCTAAATCGGGTCTGCAAATTATAAAGTACTTCTCCCAGAGGCATAAGTTACAGCGATTTGAGGCAGGGCTGTATGGAGGGGCCTGCTTTAAAATCCTGCAAGAAATCGTGTAATCTATGTTCTTGTTCTTTAAGTTCCAGACGTGTTTACTTAGTTCAGCAAGCTCTTGTTTACATACTTATATATATATATATATATATATAACCAAAATAGCGGAATGAGATCATCATCTACTAAAAAGTGCTCAATAGCAGGGCTAGAGCTATGGATAATTATACCTCAAGATTTAGGTTACTTGAACTTTTACTGCATCTCTGAGTTTCATGCCTCTTGCGAAGCAATCGTCAGGCAACCGACAGAAATAACGACTTTGCAAAAACCTTTCTTGATATTCTCTATTTCCTGCGGTGTTCCATTGAGGGCAGCCAAACCATCATACCGGTATAAACCAATATTTTGACCGTACTTCTCAGTAAGAATCGATAAGAGAAGGCATCCAACCAGCTCACACGTTTCCGCTCCATCGAAGGACAAAATATTGGTTTATACCGGGATGATGGTTTGGCTGCCCTCAATGGAACACCGCAGGAAATAGAGAATATCAAGAAAGGTTTTTGCAAAGTCTTCCGCGACAATGACTTAAAAATCACAGTCGAGGCTAACATCACCAAAACCAATTTTCTAGACGTCACGCTTGACCTCTCAAGTGGGAAGTATTACCCTTTTACTAAGGAAGGCAACATCCCCCTGTACGTGCATAAAAAATCTAACCACCCACCATCCATTCTGCGCAACATCCCTGAATCAATCAATAGGAGGCTCTCCGAGATATCTTCCGACAGGGAATGCTTCGATAGTGCTAAACCTATTTATCAAGAAGCTCTCAAAAAAAGTGGGTACAGCTACACCCTGTCATTCAACGCTGCATCAAACCAGGCACCACGTCCACGAAGAAACAGGCAGCGGAATATTACTTGGTTTAACCCACCATACAGCAAGAACGTGGAAACTAACGTCGGAAAATGCTTCCTTGCACTTATTGATAAGCATTTCACAAAAACTAATCCTCTTCACAAAATTTTCAACCGGAACACCCTTAAACTGAGCTACAGCTGCATGGGCAGCATTAAAACTGTCATATCTAACCACAACAAATCTGAAATCCGGAAACTCGCACGCGCTAATGATCGAGCTAGGAAAAGCTGCAACTGTCGAAAACCTGACATATGCCCCATGGATGGNATGTTTAAAAGAAAACTCAAATCTTTGCTTATTTCTGAATTTTTGAAATCTGATTAGTACTTCTGATTAGAATATCTATTTTTTTTTAACCAAACGTGTACATATGTTTTTATATACATTCTTAGATTATATTATATTAGATGTTGTGATTGATTAATTTTATTTGAATGTATAGTCAGTAATTTATATGTTGTTCCTGAAAAGCCCCATTGGGGAGGCGATAATAAAGTATGTATGTATGTAAATACGATCGATTCCACTGTCACCAACGTTCAACGTTCCGCGACTTGAGACGGAGAGCGTGCTAAATCCAGAAATAGCATCTTTCTTTCCATTGAATTCGCCATTCTCGTCGCCAATTTGTAGAGTTGTTTACCACAAAGGTGCGCGACACACACTTTAAAGTAACAGCACTAATGTAACGCATACGATATACATAACCTCTTTACTCTCCCGCTCTCTTCCTACTCTCAGAGTTCCCGGATGTGAGACGGCTGTCCCGATAAACTAAAGGTGCGCAGTTATTGTAAATCTACTTGGCGCGTTGTTTATGGTCCAGTTATGAATTCAGTTAGGGCTTATGTCATAGTGACTGCTTGCTTCCTTTTTTCCCGGTTTGCGTCGTCGTTGGCTCCCCTTCTGTATAGAAGATAGGTGTCCATTTCACATCATTGACTGATGGTGAGTTCTGTAATGGCTGTAAAGGCCAATACGAACCTTGAATCGTCTATCACATTCTGGACAACATAGGCCTGGTGGTAATTCTGTCCGTGGTTGTTCTTGGGTAAGTGTGTGTTAAAGATATAAAAAATGTTCAGTTTAACGAAGGTTCTAATTATCTGTTTAAAGGAAATTTCTTGTACTATCGTTCCTCTTTCAATTTCCCTTCTCCTTTTTCTTTGTAATCGAAGCACCACCAACATTGCACTGGGTAGTAATGCGAGACTAAGTTGTGGTCTTTGGAAACATTTTCGAAGTACCAAATATTCCTTATAAACTGTAGGAGAGCAATTGCGTGATTACTTATTAACAACAAACAAGAAAAAATTAAAACAGCCGGTTAAACAAAACAAACGAATCACACACAAAACCAACGGTTCCGATTTACTTCAAATTTCGTTGTGCGTTTGGGCGAAAACCTGCGTTGAACAAAAAAATCGTTACTCAGTATCTATGGGGAAGGAGTTATGAACAGACGGATTGAAACGTGTTCCTTTGCTGCTAATACAGAGAAATCAGCTTACGGTAAGTTGTCAGTTCTTCTTTACTCAGAATGTATAGATCTAGTCTGGTCTAAACGTCATCTTTATTGCAAGGCTGGGAGGGGTCCTACCAGTTGTTGTATACTACGCCTCAAATGCGCACCAGATATTTTTGTAGTCTGGCAACTCAACTTCTGCTAAAGTTGGAAAGCCAAATGTTTATTTTGAAATTGATCTTTCTCTTCCACAGCCCCCTAGGGGACTGCTCACGCAAGCCTAAGAAAAGCATTGCGTGGAAAAGCCTTGCTAGGAAAAGCCTTGGACATGCCACGGTGGGTTCGCGTCTGGGTGCTGGATTTTCTGTCAGACAGGAAACAACGTGTCAGGCTGTCATCAGACTGCAGGTCAGAGTGGGACTCAGTCCCCGCCGGGGTACCACAGGGGACCAAGCTTGGTCCTTGGTTGTTCTTATTAATGATCAACGATCTTGAGGTCGACGCGCTCACTTGGAAGTATGTAGACGACACGACTATCGCCCAAACGATACCTCGAGGTTTGACCAGTGATGTACAAAGCGGAGTTTCCGCTGTTGAGGCGTGGTCGATCGAAAATAGGTTGGAACTGAACGCGGATAAATGTAAGGAGATGCGCATTGACTTTAAAAGGAACACTCACAATTTTCCACCAATTGTGATTAATGGCAAGGAACTATCAGTATCAAACAGTGTAAAAATCCTAGGAGTCACTATTAGCTCAGATTTAAAATGGAACGAACATATCTCAGAGTGCATTAAGAAAGCGAACAAGCGCCTTTATTTTATTGTTCTTCTAAAGCGCGCGTTNCTGGATCGTACTTCCTAGGAGTATTCTACCGCCCTCCTTCAAGTGACATGAACTATCTAGAAGGCCTTAAAAGGTCACTAGAAAAAGTTACAGTGGTATCCGATCACACTAATGTTGTTCTTTTGGGTGACTTTAATTTTCCGGATATTGATTGGGACTTGATATGCCCTTCTCAACCAAATGTCTTATCAGACTATTTCTGCGATAATATTGTGAACTTCTATGGTTTCTCTCAATTGATCGACGAGCCTACGCGTCAAGATGCTATCCTAGACCTTGTGATATCTAATCGTCCAGAATCACTTAAAAACATCCAAATTTTGGACGGAATTGGCTCTTCAGACCACAATGTTGTCTCTCTCAAGTTGACATGCAAAGTCACTCGTCCATATCAACGACCAAAACAAATCTTTGACTACAAAAATGCTAATTGGGATAACTTTCGTCTTGAACTATCAAATATCCCATGGGACGCTATATTGAACGACAATGACACAATGGAAGAGGTTTGGTTAAATTGGAAGTCTGCATTCTTTAAAGCCATTGAAAACAACGTTCCTTCGAAGAAAATAAAATCAAGACAAAATGTGCCCTGGATCACTTCTGATATACGCAAGCTTTTCCACAAAAGAAAACGCCTTTGGAAGAAAGCCAAATCTACCCAGCTTGAAGTTGATTGGAATAAATATAAATCGTTAAGGAATAAAGTTAAATCGGAACTTAATAAGAGTTATTACCAACATGTTCACTCATTAATTGATTCCAAAAACCCTAAACGCTTCTGGTCTTTTATAAAATCCAAAACGAAAAACAAATCAATACCTGTCACTATGAAATGGTCGGATCGTGGTGTCACGGCTTCTACTGGCAAGGACAAAGCAGAGTTATTTTGCAAATTTTTCGCGTCGGTGTTTACCCGCCCTGACCCAGCTACCGATGT